ACACATGAGCAGTGCTCATTATATAAATTTTTTAATGAATGCACATAGCTAGTAAGTGCTAGAGTCAAATTTGAATTCAGAACAGCCCCCACTCTTGCCTCCTGGAGAAAACCGTGCATTCCATTGTAGACATATTTTGTGTGAGGCCACAGCAGGGTATCTAGATGTTCAGCAGAAACCTAAATTCCATCAGTGAAGCTTGAGAAAAGGTCAATGCTAGAATAAATTACTGAGGAGCATCCAAGTAGAGATTACAGAGTCCTAAAATTAGATGAGATGATTATGAAAGGGTATAGGCCCCAAAATAAAACCTTAGAAAATACCTATATTTAGAGGTTGAGAAGTGTTAAGAGGTATTTTAAAAAGCAATGCATACATATAGGTCATAGAAAGAAGACAGAGATAAAGATATAAAAGCAAAGGGGGAAGAGAAGGAAGGAGGGCTGTCAGCAACATCAGCCACCACAGAGTAATCAAAGAGCACCAAGATTAAGACAAGAAGACTGAATTTGGAGATTAGAAGGTGATTGATGACTTTTGGGTAAGCAGATTCAGGAAAACAGGCTGAGTGAGAGTCAGCTGGCATCTGGGAGGGTGGGGGAGCTTGGCTTTGAAAGAAAGGTTGGTAGTGAGGTGGAGCTCATGTGTATAAACTTCTCTGTAATTTTAGGAGAGCTAGTAGCAGTAATGAGAGGAGTTGAATAGGAGACATCTTGTTGTTATAGACAGGAGAGAAGGCCCAAGTAGGAAAAAAATAAAAATGGCAGGAAAAGGACAGAATACTGATGGAACATGACCCCAGAGGAGGCAAAAGGAACTAAGCTGCAAGACCACTGATAGGAAGGGCCGTCCTTAGAAATGGTGAGAGACATGGTACTATTGGAAGTAGGAGAAGAGACTACTTTGCATTTTTTTTTCCAAAAAAAATTTTTTTCAGAAACAGAGTATAGAAAAGTGGAAGTTGAATAAAGAAAAATTGATGTTTGAATTGAAGGTCCCCAATTCCTCTTTAAGAATTTCTCTAAGGAGGCAAGTTCATCTATAGAAAGCAGAGGGAAAGATTTCAGGGCTAGAAGATAAGGAATATTTTAATTAACTGAGGCAGTGGTTAACAAAAGTTATTGAATGTCTACTCTGAAATAAGTAGAGAATTCAGTAGAGAAGACAATAAAGGATAAAATAAGCAATAGAGACCCACCTGAGATGAAATAGTGTGCACTTTTAATAGAGCCCAACACCATGGTTTCATAACTTTGGCCAGCTTCTGAGATGTGGTTGTTGAAGGAAGCTCATGGTACCACACAGGGTCAGGAAGTGAAATGGTGAGAATGGCAGATAAGAATGGAGGAAGGATGGATTCTAGAGGCAAGTGAAGACAGTACATACCTTGTTTTATTGCGCTTTGCTTTATCGTGGTTTGCAGATACTGTGTTTTTTATAAAGTGAAGGTTTTTGGCAACCCCACATTGAACAAGTCTATCAGTACCATTTTTCCAACAGCATGTGCTCACTTCATGTTTCTGTCATATTCTGGTAATTTCATGTTTCTGTGTCATATTCTGGTAATTCTTATATTTCAAACTTTTTCATTTTATTATATCTGTTATGGTGATCAGTGATCTTTAATATTACTATTGTAATTGTTTTGTGGTACCACAAACAATATCCATCTAAGATAGTGAACTTAATCAATGTGTGTGTTCTGACTGCTCATTGATGAGCTGTTCTCCCATCTCTCTCCCTCCTCTCTGGCCTCCCTATTTCCTGCGACACAATAATATTAAAATTAGGCCAGTTAATAACCCTACAATAGCCTATAGTGTTCAAGAGAAAAGAAGAGTCATTTCTTTTCTCTTTAACTTTAAAAACTAGAAATGATTCAGCTTAGTGAGGAAAGCATGTCAAGAGCCAAGATAGGCCAAAAAGCTAGGCCTCTAGTGCCAAATAATTAGCTGAGTTGAGAATTCAAAGGAAAAGTTCTTGAAGGAAATTAAAAGTCCTATTCCAGTGAACACATAAATGATAACGCAAATCAACCTTATTGCTGATATGGAGAAAGTTCGAGTGATCTGGATAGATCAAGCTAGCCATGACATCCCTTAAGCCAAAGCTTAATCCGGAGTAAGACCTTAACTCTCTTCAATTCTGTAAAGGCTGAGAGAGGTGAGAAAGCTGCAGAAGAAAAATTTGAAGCTACCAAAGGTTAGTTCAGGTTCACAAGGTTGGGTGCTCACATGGCAGTAATATTCTCCAGGGATGAGGGGGATGGGGGGTAAAGCCACAACTAAAGGACACGGGGAGCCTTGTAGAGGGGAAGGTCATGCCTCTAACCCTTGCTTGGGTGAGGCAAAGACATAAAATGTAACTATAATGTTTGTACCCTCATAAAACCCTGAAATAAAAGAAAAAAATCTGAAAAAAAAAGAAAAGAAGCTATCTCCATTAAAAGTGCAAGGTGAAGCCACAAGTTATCCAAAAGATCCAGCTACGATAATTGATGAAGGTGGCTAAACTAAACAACAGATGTAGACAATGAAAGAGCCTTCCACTGGAAGAAGGTGCCATCTAGGATATTCATAGCTACAGAGAGGTCAATGCCTGGCCATTGATATCTCATTTACCATTCAGAAAACTCAGGGCCCTTAAAGTAGATTATGCTAAATCTACCCTGCCTGTGTTCTATAAATGAAACAACAAAGCCTGGATGACAGCACCATCTGTTTACAGCATGGTTGCCAACTGTTGAGACCTACTGCTCAGAAAAAAATATTTCTTTCAAAATATTACTGCTTATTGACAACGTACCTAGTCATCCAAGAGCTCTGAGGGAGATGTACAAGGAGATGAATGTTATTTTCATGCCTGCTAACACAGCACCCATTCCATAGCCCATGGATAAAGGAGTAATTTCAACTTTCAAATCTCAGATCTAAGAAATACCTTTCATAAAGTTATAGCTGCCATAGATAGTGATTCCTCCAATGGATCTGGGCAAAGTCAATTGAAAACCTTTGGCAAGGATTCGCCATCCTAGATGCCATTAGGAATATTTGTGATTCATGGAAGGAGGTCAAAAGATCAACATTAGCAGGAGTTTGGAAGAAGTCGATTCGAACCCTCATGGATGACTTTGAGTGGTTCAAGACTTCAGTGGAGTAAGTAACTACAGATGTGGTAGAAAAAGCAAGAGAACTAGAATTAGAAGTGGAGCCTGAAGATGTGATTGAATTGCTGAAATCTCATAATAAAACCATAACAAATGAATAAATGCTTCTTATGGATAAGCAAAGAAAGTGGTTTCTGAGGTGGACTGTACTCCTGGTGAAGATGCTGTGAACATTGTTGAAATGACAATAAAGGATTTAGAATATTCTGTAAACGCAGTTGATAAAACAGCAGCAGGGTTTGAGAGGGTTCACTCCAATTCTGAAAGAAGTGCTGTGGGTAAAATGCTATCCAACAGCACTGCATGCTATGAAGAAACCTTTCATGAAAGAGTCAGTTGATGTATTTTCATTGTTGTCTTATTTTAAGAAATTGCCACAGCCACCCCAACCTTTAGCAGCCCTCACCCTGATCAGTCAGCAGCCATCAACATCAAGGCAAGACCTCCACCAGCAAAAAGATTACAACTTGCTATGAAGGCTCAGATGATCATTAACATTTTTTAGCAATACAGTATGTTTTAATTAGGGTGTATGCATTGGTTTTTTAGACACAATGCTACTGTACACTTAGAAGAAAACAGTACTGAGTGTAGACATATCTTTTCTATGCACTGGGAAGCCAAAATATTTGTGACTTGCTTTATTGATATATTCACTTATTGCAGTGTTCTGGAACCCAACCTGCAATATCTCTGAGGTATGCCTGTTTTGGCATTGGTATAAGGTGAGTGATGAAGTAAATGAATACTGAGGGGAATTTAGAATCTCAAGACTTTGATTTGGGTATGGTGCAAATTATCAAAATGAGGAAATAAAGTGGTCGTGATCAGAAAAGGAAGGCTCAAAGTTTGAGGTACTTTAGTAAAATAGTTGCAAATCAAGCAAACTATAAAGTGCCCTCTCTGTAGTTTCAGAGATTAAATAAGAAACTGTGAGGCCAATGTATTATGAACCAGAATGAGAAATAAATGAATGTGGCAGGGGATGAGATGGGGTGGACTGACCAGGCACCCAGATTATCAGGACAGATGGAGTGCCATGATGAGTTCGTAAATACAGTAACAACAGCAGGGCTTGGCCCTCAAGGTTCAAAGACTGGTTGAAGGAGGCAGAACAATATTCTAAACTGACCACAGGGGATATGAATGTTTGTGAGGCTGGTAGTATCTTCAGGGGCAATTAAGGTAAAGAATTGGAAGTTCAACTTGAGGATCAGTCTAAACCATAGAACACTTAGCTTCCGTACAGAATGAGAAGGCAAGGTCATCAAGGAGTGACTGACAGAGCAGCAAGCAAGGACGCAGAGCAGGAAGGGAAGGGTTATTTGGAATCGGATGTAATCATTGTTCCCTATCCTATCTGTTCCTCTCATCTCCCTTATCACTCCTTTACAGGTGATCCTTCTAATCCTCAAAATAGGCTATAAGGTATTATCCCCATTTTACAGATGAAAAAATCTGGTTCTGAAATTTGAATCTTGTCCTGACGGCAAATTCCAAGGTCTTTGAACCACAACCCAGTGACTCTCAGTGGTCTTGAAGTGTTACTGCAGCTTCCAAGGACTAATTAGAAATCATGTCTAATGGGTGTGAAACACAGTGCATTCCTTCGTGTTGCTCTTGAATTACATTTAGCTCTAAAAAGTTCTTTGTGAGCTTATATATCTAATCTTATAATCTGTGTTTACTTCTGAAGTTTTTTTCAAGAAAACTCCTTGGACCCTTTTTCTCAAGACATTAAGGAATTTCCAAATACATTCAATATGAACATGTTGAATTTCTGCAACTATACTCTAAAACATTAAGTTAATCTTTATATTGCATTATTTTTCAGGTGTGAAAACGAAACCAAGTTCAAAACAGAAGACGTATTTTGGGCTTACAATTTCTGCCCTACTCCATATTCCTGGACTGCACTTCTGGGCCTTATTTTGTATCTTGTTTTCTTCGCACCTGGTAAACAAGGCTTTCTTATTGTTGTGTTAATTAAATGGCCTATTTTTAGGGGAGACAGGCTACTGTTTTTCAAATTCATTACATGCTATTTTACTAAAGTTTTAAATTTTTTACTTCTCAGGAATGGGACCAATGCCTTGGACTGTGAATTCTGAAATATATCCCCTTTGGGCAAGAAGTACAGGAAATGCATGTTCATCTGGAATAAACTGGATTTTCAATGTTCTGGTTTCATTGACATTTTTACACACAGCAGAATATCTTACATACTATGGTAAGAGAATATTTTTTCCAACATAGTTTCATTTTTATTTTTCTTACTCTATTTTTTAGATATATTATCATTTGTCATTGAAAGACTATGTGGTTATATTTTTGCTGTTATAAATATCTCCAGGTGGCTCTTTTTCCCCACAGGCCTTGGAAATGTATCTGGGGAAAGAAAAGAGGAAGACTCCTTTGCTAAGCAGCATTGCTTCTTGTCCCTCAGTGCTTAGGGCTGTCACTCACCCCTCTCCCAACCCAAACATCTCCCATCTATCTCCCCAGTTGGAAATCTTCACAGCATAGCTTTTAGTTTAACAAAAAAACATAAACAACAAAAAAATGGTAAAGAGATGTAGGCAGGGCCACTGAGATGTTCTGTGACAGGGATGGAGTCCAGTCCAAGAGCAGAATCAACATAGGGTCAAAAGCTTGCCAAGATACTTAAAGATGATGTGCTGTGCATTATGCCTTCCATGTATCATCTGTGCTGTTCAGGCCAAGGTGTGTGCATTTCAGCATCCTCTGAAACTAGCACTTACCACTTCCAAAACTGTAAATGTGATGGAAGTATTCAAATGAAAATGTGTGGAGACCATAATTCAAAGAAAACAATATTGATAAGTGGCTGAATTAGGAACATACTTTGGGGAGCTACTTCAAATCCATTTTTACTAAGGTGAAAAGACTTTTCTTTTTAGAAAGATGATTTCTGGCCAGGTGTGGTGGCTCACACCTATAATCCTAGCCCTTTGGTAGGCTGAGGCAGGCAGATGGCTTGAGGCCAGGAGTTTGAAACCAGCCTGGGCAACATAGTAAGATCCCTGTTGCTACAAAAAAATAAAAGCCAAACTGGGTGTGGTGGTGTGTGCCTGTAGCCCCAGCTACTCGGGAGGCTGAGGCAGGAAGATCACTTTAGCCCAGGAGTTTGAGGCTGCATGAACTATGATGATGCCACTGTACTCTAGCCTGGGCAACAGAGTGAGACACTATCTCAAAAAAACAAACAAAAAAGAAAGAGGATTTCTACACTGTCCACATGACTTTATAGGTTGTGATAAGATTCTAAATAATGAAATGTGAGATTTTCATTCTAACCTCCCCTTAAGCCTTGGTGGTATATGTGGAATACCTACTGCTTAGACCAGTCTTCCAGAAGACCTTCTCTGATCCCCTGCCCCACCTCACCTCATTCTATGCTCTGGGCACTTATAATTCCTTTTTGCAAGAACAGGTTTACTTGTCTGTCCCCCACCCCCTACTACTAGACCATAAATCCCTGGAGGGCCGTCTATGCCTTGTTCACCATTATATTCCCAAGTCCTTCCGGGACATCCTGTTCATCTGATAAGCACCCAAAAGTGTTTGTCAAATGAATAAATACATGTATGAATTTTGAAGATGAATTACGAATAGAGGAAACATTATAAAAATCCATTTTCCCCCTCTTCTATACATGCCGAATTAGTATTTGCTTTTAGTTAATACTATTTATCTAACGCTTTTACTACCTTTATAAAACTCTTCTCTCTCCCAGTCACCACATAGAACATTTAGAAATATTTATTTTCTTGGAAAGGAAAGGCATTGGCATTTTAAACTTGATATACATTTATATTTAGTATATTCTGCTTTATCCCATTTGGCCATTAAAAATTTTTACATAAATTCATGAACTTTACATAAATTCATGGGTTTTTTGTTTGTTTTGAGACAGAGTCTCACTCTATTGGCCAGGCTAGAGTGCAGTAGCATCATCATAGCTCACAGCAACCTCAAACTCCTGGGCTCAAGCAATCTTCCTGCCTCAGCCTCCTGAGTAGCTGGGACTACAGGCACATGGGCCACAAAGCCCAGCTAATTTTTCTATCTTTTGTAGAGACGGGATCTCGGTCACGTTTAGGCTGGTCTCAAACTCTAACCCTCAGGTCAGCCTCCTGCCTCTGCCTCTGCCTCTCGGAGCGCTAGGATTACAGGCATGAGCCACCACACCCAACCTACAATATTGCTGTTATCTGTACTCAGAACACAGGAACTCAATCTCTTAATAGCAACTCTTCTTCCCTAGTCATTTAGTAGAATTTAATAATGCTGGCTATCACTTTTGAGCAACTAACATCCAGAATTCTAATGGGCATGTAACATACATTATTTCTATTATTTACAGTTTGCAAAGCAGGAACTATTTTCCCTATTACACAGAACAGAAAACCAAGTTCGAGAGAATTTAAGAAATTCTGCCCCAAGGATTCAGCCCCACGTTCTCCACAGAGCCATGGAGCCTTTGCTCTCACAGTAACACTCAGCCATGCATCCCAGATGACCTAGTATTATTTTTATGATTATTTCTCAAGTATAAGCCTTAAAAAAAAAAGGTTACAGTAAATGTTTAATGTGAACGAAACTGAAAGAGCCTTATATTTGTAAATAGAGTTCTATTTTTATTAAACAAAGGGAATTGGATTTATACAAGTCCGGCTCCTTAAAGAGTTAATATGGCTTTGACAAATTATGTCTTGATTTAGTTAACCCTTTCATGTTTTTTTCTAATATCTCATAATTTACCTCTGTTTCCCTTCTGTTTTCTCATGGCTCCTCATTCTACAGAAAAGATTCTGTTGGGTGGTCAATTTAGCAGCATTTTTCCTCCATAGTTTTTCTTGAGTCTTTCCAAGACGTATTTCTATGGTTATTCTGGAAATGGTTACTTATTAAGGAAGTATTAAGACAGTAACATGTGTTAGGCATTAGGAACCCAAAGACAAGCCATAGATGCTGCCCCTTGAGGAGACCACTTTTGCCACTGAAACAGAAGAGCAGGTCTCCCTCTCAGGCATCTTTTAACCATCTCTCCTGTACCTGCTCTGATTTTGACCATAAGATTTATAGACTCAAACTACCAGCACTTAAATAGGAGCTCAGAAACTATTTTATTTTACTTAATGAGGCATCTGAGGCCCAAAGAGGAGACTAAATGACTACTTTAGAAGTCACATAGCCAAGACTTAATCCCAGATCTTCCCACTCCCAATCTGATACCCTTTCTCCAGCCATTTATCACATCAGTTTTTTATCTTCCTTCCCCCATCTCATTTACAGGATGGTCTGGACAGAAAGCCTAAAATTAGGCAGGGACTCCATTATAGTTAGTTGTTTTCCACCATCAAAAGTAAAAGTCTAGGCCAGGCGTGGTGGCTCACGCCTGTAATCCTAGCTCTCTGGGAGGCCGAGGCGGGAGGATTGTTTGAGCTCAGGAGTTCAAGACCAGCCTGAGCAAGAGCGAGACCCCGTCTCTACCAAAAATAGAAAGAAATTAATTGGACAGCTAAAAATATA